GCGTTTTGTACTGGTTGGTTGGTGGGTTGATTGGTTGACTGGTTGGCTGGTTGGCTGGCTGGTAGGTTGGTTGTTCTGGGAGTGTAAACTTTTAAGCATTAACACATTATAACGAAAATAGTATAGGTAAATCAACTCGTTCTTAATTGTTATTCTGACGACAAATATCTTTGGGCTCAAGTTCAGGTAAAAGGTAGAATTTTATTTTCTCGTCTTTCCTTTCCATCAGTGTTGGTTACATACCAGGCCTACTCCAACTTTGGCTTGTCTGGCTTTCTGAATAGACGTGATCATGATCACCGAACCAGCTAAGTGGCTGACTATGCACTTTTGGATCACACACGTACCTTTATGCACGATTGTAAAAAGTGGCGTGATTCATACAGGAAATTATTTCAACTGATTAATTCCCGAAAGAAAAAATCATTGAAATATAATCATATGTATAAACCAATCAAATGTATCTTGTTCATTATATGGAGATAATGGCATTGCGAAATGCCTTTGAAAACGTGCTGATGACATCACATAATCGTATAATACCCACTTCACACTTCCAACCAGATTCATTCCGAATGAGTCAAAAGCCAGATGGAATTTTCTCTGTGGAGGTGCTAAAAGCTATCATTTTGGCACAATACGACTGATTTGACTCGCAACCTTAAAAAACAAACGCGTTTTGATACAATGCCCACATTAAACAATTCAGAGATCACATCAAAGATTAAATAAAAATAGAGAATTAGTTGGGGGGTTATTATTGAATCATATTAATGCCCTGATGAGGGGGGTGGTGGATACAATGCCCAAATGAAACAATACAGAGGTTACATCAAAGTCACATGGTACTAAATATCACGCCAACGCCTTCAACACATCTGTTCACGCAGCATACGTTTTATACTCTCTCAGTGGAAAATTGTAATATCATCGTCTAAATGTCATTGTCCTGTGCGTGTATTCTCCTTACCTCGTCACTTGCTGTCTTTTGTTTTGTTTGGGGGTTATTTATTTTGTTGTTTTTTTTGTTTTGTTTTGTCGTTTGTTTGGGGGTTTTTTTGGGTGGGAGGGGGGGTTGATGTTTTTGTTTTTTGTTTTTGTTGTTGTTATTTGTTTGTTTGTTGTTTTGTTGTTGTTGTTTTGTTGTTGTTGTTTTTGGGGGGGGGGGGGTCGAACA